ATTTCATGTAGAGTCTGTATAGTCTTCAATGATCTGTACTATCAGAACAAATATTTTTATAGGGCTCTGTCTTGGTCCAATCAAAATGAAAAGAATGTAGAAAGATCTAATTCTATATTGTTTTGCTTACTGTAGCTTTTATTTATTTAATGAATCACTGTAAAATACAATTACAGACTTACAAATTATCATGATTACATTTTAGTCATACAATGATCGAGTACCCATCCCTCTACCAGTGCCTGTTCTCCATAAACAATGTTCTCAGTATCCCTCCCACCATCCACACCTCTTCCTACCTGCTGCCTCTGTGGCAGGCACATTCCCCCACCCCCCTCTCTGGGTGTTATGGTTTGCAATACAGGTACTAAATGGACACCCTGTTTGGTCCATAGTCTACTTTCAGTACACATTTCCCATCCCGAGCAAGCCTTCCAACCATCAAAAGAAATGAGAGAAGTACCCAGCTTATTGTGGTTTTGGATTGGTAATACTCAGGGATGTGATGCATTCATTCTATTGTCTCAGCACTGTTATCATTCAGTCTTTTGTGATTCCCATTTCCTTGAACAATGTCATTAGGAATGGAATAGGGATTACATTGAATCTATTTGTAGAATAACACTGTTTTGTCCTTCCTCAGGTAAGCTTCGGTTTATCAGGTCACACCCATCCCAGTGTTCCCATTCCTCTGTTTATCTGTGAACTCTTCTCTGTGCTTTCCTCCCCAGCCAATTAATCACCTTTTCTCCCTAATCAGATTTTGTTAGCTTGTAAGATCAGATCCTTCTAAGGACACTGAACTTGTATTGTAAGTTATGTCTTTTGAATAGTTTAGCTTAAAGCAATGTCCTTTCTGTCTGGCCACAGGAGGACAGTAAATATTATGTTTTGTAACTTGGGAGTTGATTGACTCTGAATAATATTTACTCCCGGGCATCTGCTTTCTTGCCTCAGTTGCCCTTAGTTCCTAGCACCCCCAAAGCAGGGTCCCAACGAGGACCCAGGGCAAGCTGTGAGCTACCCTGGCATTGAAATGGGCCAGGCCAAAGCACCATGATACTCAACTATAAGTTGAGGGCATGATCATGGACAAATGCTGTCATGATCCAAAAGTAAGTAACAACGGGACTAGGACCCTGCTGGGACTAGGAAGACTAACCTGGCCTGAGGACTGCCTTTGTGTCACCACCCTACGTGATTGCTATATAAACTAAGAATGTAAGCTTGGAGGGGGGAGAATCAGAAGTTTGAGAGCTCGGGCCAGAGATCCAGAGCAGAGCCAGAAGGAGTCCCAGATTGAGGCCTAGGAGAGAGGCAGAGGAGAGACAGGAGTGAAGAGAATTGGAATAAACGGCAACTAAGACCAACCAGCCTGGCCCTTGTTTCTTTCTTCGTCTGCCCTTGGCCAACAGCTGTCCCGATCCAGGCCACACACAGCGGCTCAAAAGCACCAAACGGTGGGACAGAGGCGTCCAGAAAGCCCGTGAACACACAACCTTTAGCGTGCTAAGATTTTACACTATATAATAATGCTTTCGAGGGTGTTCATTTTTAACCATGTTAATTCTTTTTTTTTTTTTTAATTAGTGAAACACCATGAGGTACAGTTGTAGATTTACAAATTTTTGTGCTTGGATTTCGATTATACAACCACCAAGTACCCATCCCTCCACCAGTGCCCATTTTCCACCACCATGGATCCCGGTATCCCTCCCACACCCATCCCCACATCCCACCCTGCCTCTGTGGCAGGGCATTCCCTTTTGTTCTCTCTCTCCTTTTAGGTGTTGTGGTCTGAAAAAGAGGCATTGAGTGGCAATCATGTTCAGTCCATAGTCTACTTTCAACATGTATCTCCCCTCCTGGGAGGTTCCTCCAAACACCCTTTATTTGGTGCTCCCTTCTCTATCTGAGCTGCCCTTTCCCCTGGAGTACCCGGCTGGCCTCTATGCCAAACCATGTTAATTCTTACAGTCTATGTAAATAAAATATCTTTCCAACTCGTTGTGTCTCCCATTTCTTTGAACAAGAAGAAATTGTTTTAGTTTTATGAGTCTTCTAAGTCTCGTATTCCCTTTCTAATTCATTGCTAAATCCTTAATTGTTTGATGTTCCTGGACACAGATTTTTCAATACTTCATTTTAGCTGCTTGCATATAAAAATGCAACCGATTTTTATATATATAGATTTTTGTGTCCTGTCACTTAAAGTATTGGTTGGTTGTTTCCAGTCATTTTAGTGGCATCTTTAGAAATTTCTACTTTTAATATCATGTCCTTTACAATATAGTTTTACTTCTGCCTCCAATTTGAATCCTTTTTATTTCATTATCTTACCTACCTTCCCAGATCAGGATTTCCACTATTACGTTGAGTAACAGTGGTGAGAATGGACATATTCTTTTCCTGATCTCAGAGAAAAAGCTCAGTTTTTTCATCACTGAGTATATCAGTGGTAGATTTGTTGATATAGGTTCAGTCTATCCTCATTTTGTTAAGAATTTTTATAAACAGATGTTGAAATATGTAAAAAGTGTTCTCTGCATCAATGAGATCATATTTTCCTTATGATGATGTGGAATATGACATTAATTGACCTGCATATGTTGAACCATTCTTGTATTCTTGGAATAAATCCCACTTGATTATGATGTATAATTCTTTTTAATATATTACTGAATATAGGGTGCTGCAGGGGACGACTGGAGAAAACGCTGGGGTTGAGGATGAGCTGTTGAGACTTGATCCAACCAAGCAGTTAAGTGATAGGTGGCCCCTCCCTTGGCAGACTCCCTTTGACTTCACAGCAGTGGCAGCCCCAACCCCCTGCCCCTCCTCAAATAGCCAGATGAAATGTCCAGTCACTATGCCTAAAACAAAATGTAAGGGACCATTGAGTATTCTAACTGCCAGCCAGCCTGGGAGAGTAAGGAACTACTAGAACACCCCTTTCCACTGCCTGTAGGCTTGTGCAGGACAGTACTCCCTGAAAGGCATTCATTCACTGTTCTCCCTTTTCTCTTAAGGTATACATATAAACCTAAGCCTGATTGCAATAAACTGAGTATTCTCCCTGCAGAAGCTCCTGGAGCCATTGGTTATCTTCATCTGTCTTGTCTTTGTCTGTCTTGGATCTTTCATAGGCTCTGTGTACTCATCCTCCCACTAGGAGCTGTCCTCCTTCCTTGTCCAGTGTGCAATAGGTGGGGTTGGGTGGACTCCACGGCAGTGGTTCCGTGGACCCAATGTGTCAGAATGACAACTGAATATTAAATATGGTCTGCTATCATTCTGTTGAGGATCTTTGCCTTTACTTTCTTTTTTTAAAAATCAAATCACCACGAGCTACAGTTAAAAAACTTTCATGCTTGAGTTTCAGTCATACAATGATTGAACACCCATCCCTCTACCAGTGCACATTTTCCACTACCAATGTCCCCAGTAGGGTGGTTGGAGAGGGAGGGAGGGAGTGCATAACTCATTAGAAACAATATATGGGTGCAATACATATAAATATTGACAATGTAACAATCTGGACATACAATTAGATATATAAATTAATAAACACTGAGAAATTTTAAGAACAGTGACATGCTTGTTTAGAAGAATCCAATACTTACTCCAGTGCTTTATACATGGTAAAAACCCAAGACATAAAAGTTCAATTGAAGTTTTGAGTATACATGTTAAACAGGGTGCCAATAATATAAGCACCGAATAACAAGAAATACTTCAGAACATGATATTTCTTATTACTATGATAATATAGCACTGTCTGTAGCACTGTCCTTCTGTTGTTCATCAATTTGCTCGAGTGGGCCCAATAACGTCTCCATTGTGAGACTTGTTACTGTGGAACAAATTCCCTTTCTAACTCATAAATCATTCTACCTTATTTTGGGAATTAACAGAAAAAAATACTTGGAACAAAATAGCACTGTCGCACTGTAGCACTGTCCTGCCGTTGTTCATCGATTTGCTTGAGCGGGTCCAGTAACGTCTCCATTGTGAGACTTATTGTTACTGTGTTTGGCATATTGAATATGCCACAGGTAGCTTGCCAGGCTTTGCCGTGCAGGTGAGACACTCTCGGTAGCTTGCTGGGCTCTCCAAGAGGGATGGAGGAATCGAACCTGGGCCAACCAGGTTGGCTGTGTGCAAGGCAAACGCCCTACCCACTGTGCTATTGCTCCAGCCCAATAGAAACTACATAAATGTCAATATCTTTCCATATTTTTCTGGAATAAATTAAAATGGAAAACAAAATGATGAGATGAAAATTAAATAAACAAAAATTAAAGAGATAGTACACACAATAATTCTCTGAATTTTCATAATTTATAGTAGTAATGACTACAGATAAACAGATAATAATTAAGTTTATAATTAGTGCCATCTATTTTGTTAACATTAAATTCTGTTTTAAAAACTTAGAGGCCCCCACTAGGAAAAATATTGTAATAATTTGTTAAATAATAAACAGCTACTTTTATGGATGGATAGTTTTATGGCCATAGGTTTCATTCCCAGCACCACAAAGTTTGAGCACCACCAGAAGCGACCCCTATGTACTAAGTAGCTCCTGAGCACTCTTGTTTGTAGCCCAAAAATAAAAATAAAATCAAAAGCCTTACATTTCTTTTAAAAGTGGGATTTGTATAAATAAATCTGAAGAATTAACTTTAAAATTAAACGCCAAGAATAAATTTGAAACGTATGAACTGTTTTGGCTGATTTTGCTTAAGAATAACTTAAACAGTAAAAAGCAAACTAACAATTGTGAAAAGGAAAGAAGAGAAATTGTATTGCCACATTAAAGAATTTCAGGATGTATTCTGGGAGTCAAAATTTATTAATATAATTTTATGCTAAGAAATTCAACACTAAAATAAAGAAAAACTGAAAATACCAATACAACATTAAATTATATTTACTCAAAAAATTTACTGGAAATTTAAGCCAAAACATATAAATACTCTGTTTGAAAGATAACATACCTTTTTATCATATACATCTTGCCAGTTTACTCCAGAAAAGAAACTGTGTCTCATAATTTCTTTTGCATCGTCCGGTCCTCCTCCAAGGCTATAAAGCCAGAAATAAAATTTAATGAATATAAAACATTTGCTTGGGTCCAGTACAACATAAAAATGCTTTATGAAATGTATATTTTTTGTGATAAGTACATTTTGTTATAAATAGCCATGAAATTAAAAAAATCCTTTACTATAAGATGTGTAATTTTATGAGTATGCTAGTATTAAGGACTAACCTCAGGGACAGTATGGTATATGAAATGAACACAGGGCTTGGTGGATTAACCTGAAACAATATTTGACAACAAAATTATTTAATCTCAGTTTTCTCATCTATAGAATGGAAATAATACCAGTCTGGTAGTACAATAATCCAGTCTGGAGCATTGTTTTGAGGATAAGAAATAATATAGGTGGGTCAGTGACAACTAAGATTTATAGAAATCAAGCTGTGTGTATGTCAAGTCAAAATGTACCCTACAAACAAAAGTTCCAAATGTGGAGATAATTGGTCAAAAAAAATTTTGACCAATAAAAAATAACTTACAGATGACTGCTAACAACAAGTCATGGACTATTTTCATATCTAAAATGAATTTCCATAGAAATTATATTGCTATCCTATGGAAATATCATTGGAACATAACTTACCATGAAAGTTGCAATAAAAATTTAAAATAAAATACTTCCTTCTTGTCTTTTAAGGTAGCTTCAGTTAAATAAAATTTAACACAAACTGAAACTGAAGTGTTTTATGACTACCTTTGTTTCATATACTACATACTAGTCACTATGAAGAAAAGATAAGGAGAAATAGAAAAAAAGAATAGAGAAGGAGAAAAGAAACGAGGAAAGGGAGATAAAAAAGAACAAGTATGAGGAAAAGAAAGTAAAGAATATCTACTGAAGTTTTGTTAGCAATCTTTGAGTCTCCGTTACTTCAGTTAGAAATGATGTGTGCTTTGAATAACTATCAGATCTCTGAGAGAATTTATATATCTTTATTATGTTTTATACTGATGATATATATGAATCATAAAATTTACAAAGAAATATATATTTACAATTTTACATTAGACAATTGATTCTCACATGGTAATTTTGTTAATTTTTGTTTATCTCTAAATCCACTTACTAACCTATAAGTAATTCTGGTATGAATGCTGTTGGATATTTTTGTTACAGCAGAAATAAAAATGAAAATGATACAAAAAGGCATAATTAAGAACTTCACTTGGCAATTGTATGAATAACTTCATTGCTGAATTGTTAATGTACCAAAGAGAAAGTACATTTACTCATATTTCTTTCTTATTCATAATTTAATAGATTCAGATATGATGAACATTAAATCTTTGTTTTAGTTATTAACATTTCCATACTACTTTCTCAAATATGTACAATCAACAAGATAAACTGAGGTGTTTTCTGACTACTTTTGTTTACATATTACATACTAGTCACTCTGAAGAAAGGATAGGAGAAATAGCATAAAAAGAACAGGGAAAGAGAAAAGAAAAGAGGAAAATAAGATTAAAAAGAACAAATAAAGAACAATTTAAGGCATGAAAGTAATCCCTACTTCTACAATGTTTGGCATTTTTTTTTTTTTGCTTTTTGGGTCATACCTGGCATTGCACAGGGGTTACTCCTGGCTCTGGACTCAGGAATCACCCTGGCGGTGCTCAGGGAACCATATGGGATGCTGGGAACTAAACCCAGGTCGGCCACGTGCAAGGCAAATGCCCTACCTGCTGTGCTATACTCCAGCCCCACGTTTGGCAATTTTTATGTTCTGGAGTCTCTCACAAAGCTCAGTTTCAATTTGATGTGACTCAACACATAAATTAATAGACACACAATAGCTAACAATTCTATAGTAAATCCAACAAAATAAATTTTATTTTTTTATTTTTATTTTTTCAAAATGACTTTTAAAGCACAGATAATAGTCAATGATTACAAATTCACTAAGCAGTAATGATTTTTGAGTAATTATTATCTTTGACTTTAATATTATCAGTTAAAATTTTAAGGTTGCATAATTCAATTTTTAATAATGAGTATATTAAATAACCAGCTCAAAAAATTCTTGACAGAACTGGCTTCCATGAACTGGTGCATGCCAACTTTAACACATCAATAGGTAGAAAGGAAAACTAAACAGTTACAGAAAATAAAGAACTGCACAGGTACAGGAAATTATGTAAATTATTAGATATGTTAAAGAAAAATGGGAAGAGTCCAGGATAATGCAACATACTGTCAGAACAGAATGGACTGCTATCTGGTATCTTTTCTGATAATCAGTGTCCAGCATCTTCTAAATTTTTTTTCCTTAGGTCGATATAGAATGAAACTTGTATCCCCCAAATTGCACCAGATCATAATTGATCTGATCACATTTGGGTCCTTCACATCAGCAATTCAGTACACAGTTACTCTCAGCACTCTACTCCCTGGATTTATTCTATTTAATTTTATTTAAATTTGTATAAATCCTTCCTGAGTAGACAACAAATTCATTCAAGGGAAAATGTGCTTAGGGAACCAGAAAAGCAACAGCACTAAAACACAAGTTTACAGAAAAAAAAATCAACATTTAAAAAATGCATAAAAAATGCATCAAGATTTTCTACATGAGAAAAGTGAAAACTTTTTTGTTTCATTACATTTATGTTGCTTCTCCCAACATTATTTTTATTCTAAAATATGCTGAGATCTCTAGTAAGATGAGAGTTGTAGTGGATAATCACTTTACGATGTTTTAATATTATAAATTTATTGAAGTATTTTAATAATTTAATTTTGTATTACCTTTCATTATTCAGCCACAGTTTGGTTTTGGACAGCCAGAATTTAATCAACATTTATCAAATGGTGGATACTATGCAAACACTAAGAATATAATCTTAGACTGCAATTTAGAAACTTGGAAGATTCTTTAATGCAAGCTTCCCCAAAGTGTGAAACTGTCAAAATGTCAAGGTAAATGACCCCTTAATATAAAATTTAAGGCATGAATATAATAGAAAACTATGAATTGCACCACTGAGATAGTTATATCTAAGAGCACTAAACTACAATACAGGTACATCAAATTAAATCCTCAGCTATCAAATTTTATGATGTCATTACAAACATCACAAAATTAGCAGTTTTCTAATGTTACTAAGCACAACATGGTTTTAGACTTTTCCTATAAACTTTCAAAGGATAAACCCAGTACTGAAAAATGATCATAATATAATGGAGACTACGAAAAGCAAAATGATCTTGTTCCTTGATCAGAACTGACAATAACTTATGGGCCAGCATGATAGTACAAGCAAGTAAGGCACTTGTATGTGGTTGACCTGGATATGATCCCTGGCATCCCATATAGTCCCTTGAGTATTGCCAGGAGTGATTCCTAAGTGCATAATAAGGAGTAATCTGAGCATGGCCAGGTGTGGCCACAAAACAAAAAACAACTGAAACACATACAAATACACAAAAACTGAACTGACAATAGTTCAGGAAAAAAGTATTAGGAAAATTAAGGCAGTATTTTGAACAGGAATAATACAGAGGTATATGATTTTCTATTATGTACCCAAGAACTTTTTGTATCTTTTGTTGGTTCTATATCTTTCTGTTACACACTGATGTTTCCTCAGATTCTGTCCTAAATTCTCTTCTCCCTCTTTTTTTTAATAATTTTTTAAAATAATTTATTTTCTGCACTATTATCTTAACTCCAACTATCTCCAGCCATCTATCATCCTAAATCCATGTATTCACATATTTTTTTTTAAAATTAAGCATGGGTAGTATTTTCAGTTGTTTGCTTAACATTTCCATATAGCTTTGATAAAAATCTTAATCTCAGATAGCTAAAGCTAACAACATCTACTCCATCAAGTCTCCTCCACTTCCTGTCTAATCATAATCCTCCATTCTACAAATTAGTTATCTAAGCTACAAACCACAAGGGTATTATTGACTCCTACTTTCTCACTGCCTGTATTTAATACTTCAAAAATGAACTTATGTTTATCATCTTCTGGTACTGATTCAAGAACTCTATCCCCTATCAGGACAATGGCACAGACATTCCTAAATGCTCTGTCTACCCGTCTTTGTCTCTTCACTGTTCTAATTCATCCAAGAAAAAGTTGTCAGAGATATCTTTAACTAACACAAATATAATGATACTATTTCTTACTTTTAATTATTCAGTGGAATCTTATCCCATTATGAAGATTACTTTTTATGAAACCTAATGCCCTTATAGTCTAAAATTAGTCAACTTCATCTCCCAATGGTACACTACTTGTATACTCAGCTACTCAACTTCTCAAAAGCAACATTACCAGCAATTACAGCAAATAACTAAGAAAATTAAAGTTCATATTGCTTATAATATTTTATTGGTATCAGGTGTATACTATTTTAAGTTAATATCTGTACATATATATTTTGTTCACCAATAAATTAAATTAATCCAAGATCATCATTCACCTTGCACTGGAGCCCTTTTATATTATTTAGACTGATCCTTTCCCTTTTGGTAACTACTAACTTGTTCATTTATGTACAACACAAGTAAAGCTGTGAAGTGTTTGTCTTCCTCTGAATAAAATACTACTGTAAATTTTAATTCCTCTGTATAAATCAGATCAAGTCTTTTAATTCCCAAGGCAAAGCTAATAATTGCAATAAAAAATGTATATGGAGTTTAACCTAAGCATTTGTGAATATATGTTTTATGTTCCTCATTAGTCTATAAACATTAAAACAAGGATCACTCATTGTGTTCATCTTTTTCCTAACAGTTAATATAACTGTAAAGAATCTTGATAGGGAGGGTAAATACAGTGACTGCAAAAATACATGAAAACTACAAGAAAAGTTACGTCCAACCAAATATTTTATTAAGAGGCCACAAAGAAAAGTACTGTCAAAGTATCAGGAGGAGATTAAAAAAACCTCTGCCCTTGAACCTCAAGTAAAATATAAGATATCCAAATCAAAGAGATAAAATAGAAATCTTAGATCTATTAAAAAGTTCCTTAAAACCAAGTGCTGCTTGTTAAATACAGTTGTGAAATAATCACATTAAAAAGCACATATTCAAAGCTTGAACCAACTATGGGCTAGAGAGATAGTACATGAGTAGGGTGCTTGCCTTTCATGCCATCAACCTGGGTTTGATCCCTGGAACCCCTTATGGTTCTCTAAGTTCACCAGAAGTGGTATCTGAGCGCAAAGCCAGGAGCAAGTCCTGAGCACAGCTGGGGGTGCTCCCAAACAAATAAAAGACTTCAATCAACTGAATAAATGATGCGTTATAAATCAGATTATATGTGTATGTATACCTATATTTATTTCTATAAACACTTTTAAATAGGGCCAGAGAGACAGCACTGGGGTTCAGGGTGTATGCTCTGCATGTGTGAACTTTGCCTGCATGGCCCCCAAGCACAACCCAGCACTGCCCTGAAGTCGCTGGCTTCACAGGGACCTAAGAGCATGAAACTTTGGACCCTAATATTAAACAGTCTGAGGACTGGAGCAACAAAATAGGGTGTTTGCCTTGCATGTGGCTGAACCAGGTTTGATTCCCAGCATCCCATATGGTCCCCCAAGCATCGCCAGGAGTAATTTATGAGTGCAGAGCCAGGAGTACCCCACCCCCCAAAAAGCAAAAACAAACAAACAAACAAACAAACACCCCCCAAAACATTAAACAGTCTGATCCAAATGGCCAATTTTTGCTGGGAGAGGTCCCTGGATCTCCTGAGCACTTCTTGGAAGGTCCTAAAAGAATATAGCAAAGAGACCTAGAAATTTGATTCACATTCTTGTTCTATACAAATTATCTGAGGCTTAGAATAAATCACTCTTTGATTCTGTTTTCTCCTCAAATATAAACAAGAAAAATACCTACACTACCCTGTAAGGCTACTGGGGAGAAAAATAGTAGAGAAACCAACAGATGTGCAAGGGTCCTGGAAAAGAAGGCAAAACATTAGGTAACTTTACAAATGTTAGGTAAGATCTCAACTACTAGGATTATTAAACGTATTTTCAATTATTTTTTTCATAAAGCTAAAAGATGATACCACTTTAATGTGTTTGTTTATTGATGGTAAACTGATCCTCATAAGTAGGCTAGAAACATGCAATAGAAACCATCTCTAATGTAAAATAAGAGCACATTTTAGGATTCCTTTATTCCTTCATTTAGTAATTTAGTCTGTCAATCAGTTTATTCAGAGTCAATCATAAAGACAATGTAAAAAACATCTTGTGAGGTGTTATGTAAAATTTGACTTATATAAAATAATTTATCCTCAAGATGATTAAGATATAAGAAATTTTCATAAAATAAAGGGTAAAGGGACACCTAAAGCTGTTATTTTTTAAAACTTATGAATATGTATAACAGAATCATAGATTATAATAATTCATTAAGAAAAGCAACAAGGGGCCAGAGCGATAGCACAGCGGGTAGGGCGTTTGCCTTGTAGGCGGCCGACCTGGGTTCGATCCCCGGCATCCCATATGGTCCCCCAAGCACCTCCAGGAGTAATTCCTGAGTGCAAAGCCAGGAGTAACCCCTGAGCATTGTTGGGTGTAACCCAAAAAACGCAAAAAAAAAAAAAAAAGCAACCAAAGAATTCTTCAGGTACTACTAGAGCTATAAAAAAATGAAATTCAGAGTATTAAAAGTTCTTTTTTCCCATTAATACCACTCACCTGTGTATAGAAAAAAATGCATTGAAAGGATAAATGGTCAGATAGCGCAGTGGGTAAGGCACTTGTTTTGCATGAAGCTGACTTGTGCACAATACCTGGCACCACATATAGTTCTCTGTGCCCTCCAAGAGTGGACATTGAGCACAGAACCAGGAGTAAGCCCAGAGCACCACTGGATGTGGACCAAATATATAAAAAGGCAAGGTAGATAGATATCCTATGATACGTTAGTGTGGAAGGAGAGTATATAGATAGGCTTTTAATGGCATAAGTCAACATAGTTATAAAAGCCCAAAAAGACTGGTAAGAAAATCAAATCTTATCCATAGAAGAGCAAGTATTAAGGCAAACAGCTAATTTTTACTTACAGTATATATTAAAAAACTCAAAGTCCATTTTTTCACTTACAATATGAATTAAAAACTCAAAATCCATTAAAAATAAAATCTATATAAATATTTATACTAGAAAAGAAATGATGTAATTTTGAAAACATATTATGTATTAAACAGTTAAAAATAAGTTGGTCCCTTGGTGAGATGTCTACACAAATTCACCACTTTTTGGAGTCAGTTATATTTGAATTAACTTCCATATCACAATTTCAATCACATTCATTAGTAAGTCTCTGAGTGTTCTTTGTGGCTTACCGTTTATTTGGATCCTTTATCAAGAGCCCTGAAAGCAATGATTTTGCATCTGAAGAGAGTGTTCGAGGAAATTTAATGTCTTCCATTAGTATTAGTTCAAAAAGTTTCTCGTGATCCTGGTTGTAGAAAGGTAACCTCCCACACATCATTTCATACATGACAACCCCTAGGCCCCACCAATCAACGGCTCGACCATAGTCATTATCTTCTAATACCTAAAAATGAAACCAGTAAAAAGAGTAATTACTAAAAACTAACTTTAAAGTATTATTTAGAATACAGTTTTTTTAACCTTTTCCAACTTATGACCACTTTTTGCTTGAGTTTTCTTGTACAACACTGATATGATGCCAAATCATAAAAAATTATCTTAAAACTAATTTTTGGGATTTTTTGCAACCCCATGTTCAGCTACCATATGGGGTTGCACAACCCACAGTTTAAGAAGATAGGATTTATACAACATAAGACTTTTACATAAAATGAATCCTCAGCTTGAAAGTCTAGTTAGGCTATTCTGAGATCTTGACATTTAAAGCATGATGCATTCTACAAAAAAGACATAAATCACACCAAATATATAAAATGTTCTATATATATTCACAAAGCATGTACAAAAAGGGACATTCATTCAACAAATTCCAAATAAGGGTGTATATGTGTACACCAAAATTCAATGAAAACTATTAGGATATCTGTAGGTTTTTCTCTTAAGCCTATTTAATTTTATATTCTGGTACCAGTAATATGGACATTAAGTTAACTATTAAAGTTAAGCATTTTGATTACAGAACACATAATGTGCTTTGCCACATTTTTGCATTAAGAATCATTACGTAGCTTCCTGAGGTTACTACAGTACCTTAGAGAGCATTCATTGAGTTTGATCCCTGCTGGTAATACTAAACATGGTTCTCACAGGTCTGCTGCCAGTGACCTCCCAAACACTGCAAGCTATTTCTAGGCATGCCACAATTAGGTGTGTTTGAAAACTAAAGGTACAGGAGCCCTGCCAAACACCAAAAGTAACCAAAAAGGAGATGCAGGAGAGGCAGATGCATATGACCACTGGTCATTACAATAGCAAGAATGAAAAGGGAATGTGTGGGAGGTGAGAACAACTGAGATCTCTCTGAGAACGAGAGAGGGAGGGAGGGAGGGAGAGAGAGAGAGAGAGAGAGAGAGAGAGAGAGAGAGAGAGAGAGAGAGAGAGAGAGAGAGAACAAGGAAACGGCAAATCTTTGAGCACAGAATACCTTAAGGCATGAAAACTCTTAAATACTTTGGCAGTTCCCTCATGGTTAAACTATTTTAGGAAATATTCAGTTAACAAAGCGAATACAAAGAATTGTACTTGTATTGCAGTAACTTTATTATCTAAAGTTGTGGTAGCTTACAATAAAAAAAAAATTTAAATCCAAGAAACAAAAAGCTTCTGCTCAGTATCTGTATGGTACATGCCTTTACCTCCACTTCAAAACATACATTATATAAATAAAATAGGGATATTAAGAAACAAAAGTATCAATGAATTATGTTAGAGCAAGTCACCCCAAAAGAAACCCAATAGCTTTCCATTATCCCCAGAAAGACTGATTTTATCAATTTATAAAATGTACCAAATGTATCCCTCATGTAATGGAATTGAAACTTTCAATATTTTAATTTTAAGTTACTATATGTGAACAGTCTTAAAACTTCATTTGTCTACTTTTTCTGATGATTTTAGCTATGGAACACACAGATCAACAAAATTAAAGTCATAAGTCATCAATTTAAAGATTCTTTTCCTGGTTACCTATAAGAGAATTTGGTATAAAATCAAGCAGTGTTCAAGTTCCAAACATTCTTGTTTGAATTAATAGTTCACTGAAGATTATTAATATGTACATTTAATGTTTAAATTACCAAACAATCTCACCATTACAATATGACTGCATTTTAATACTATGGATAGTACTTAAGTTGATGAAATATTTTAAGATAGAGATAACAATTTAAAAAAGGAACTACAGAACTTAAGGATCTACTTAGCAGTGTTTTTTGGAAAGCTATCAAACTATTTTAAATTCAATTGCATAATTTATCTACTTATTTTTAGCTCAAAACTAGAAACCAGTTCCCATGTTTTCCACAATATCTTTTGTAAATCATGAACCAATCAAAAGTATTTTGATATCCCATCTTAATCTAAAAAGTTTAAATTTTGACTTGTTTAAAGTGATTAATATAAGTACATACAAAAAAAACCCACAAGAAACAAGTGAAAAAAGCAAAAAGAATTCTATTTGTGTACTTAGATTAAAAGGAATTCTATATATGTAGCTTTTAAATATCAGTGACTAGAGGACTCAAGAGTCAATCTCATATCCAATTAGCAGAATATACTATTTGTAGGTCTTTATCTAACAGATCCAGGATTTTGTCTCATAAAAATTTACCAAAAACATTTAAAATTAAGTAACCTTGTACTGCATTCCTATAACACCATTGAAACAGTGGCACATATGAAAAAGAGCCAAATGTGGTTTTCAACCTTTTTTTTTCCTTCACAAAACCATAAAAATCATAAAAGCTGGATTAACTGCCTCCCGAACCCACATTTCACCAGCCGGGTTCTCATCCCCAGCTGGCAAAACTGGCAATCCTTTATTTTTGTTTAAATACCTGGTTTGCAGCCAGAAGAGAGAGTACATAAAAAAAAAAAGAGGTTTATTTTTGAAGAGAATTAAGCAACTGAAAAATAAAACTGCATTGTAAAAAACAAAAACCCTGATATAATATATTTTATTTAGCTTTGTAAAATGAGTACTGATTCTCAAATAAGTAGTTCCTTTCCGAACATATGTGCTTTAATTGATACATAATGCTACAATGAGAACCATTTGCTAAATCACTTTGTGCTGAACAAAATTGATGTAACATGTTATCTTATTGACATGTAAACTTAAGTGTTATGTTGAAAATATCCTAACAAATCAGTCAGTCTTCTTAATCTGTCTTTGATAGCATTTAAAATGATAGATTACTATTCAGCACCTAGGTGTCACAGTAGGATAAAAAACTACTCAAGAAACAAATAATACTTAACATGTTAATATATAAAACACATTACAATTATACGTGTACCATCTCTGCTTAAATGTAAATTATTTCAAAACACAATGCTTAGAAATTCTTGAAATTAAAATATATATCCTCTTTTATATTATTTTTGTAAGATAACTTTTCTGCCTCAATCAAAGTACTTCCTTCTTCAAAATTACAGTGACAAAAAGAAAATCTTTATTTTTCTTGGATTGTAACTTGGGCTATACTTGGTAGTGCTCAGGAGTTAAATCAGGCTCTGTACTATGGTGGTGCTTAAGGGAATTATATAATTCCTCAGTGGAAAATATAATTTGGGGAAATTAAATAATATAAAATCCCCCCAAAGTAATTATAGATCACATATTACATATGTATAACAAATATTTTATATTATACATGCTACATAATATAAAATATATACAAATATAATTCAGGGGATTTATATGCAGTGCAACTGATCAAACTGGGGTTGGCTACAGGTAAGGCAAGCATCTTATTCCCTGTAATGTCTCTATGGTTAACAATCTTTCTTGAAAACTGTTGCATCAAAGGGAGAGGGACAGACACAGAATGATGTCACTCGTATGTGGAATATGAGAAACAAAATAGGAGAATAACTAATACCCAAAGACAAATGAAACAAAGAGCAGAAGAACCAGTCCTCAGTAGGAAGCTTACAATTGAGGTAGTAAGGAGAGGTCAGGGAAGGGATCATTACAACACTTTTCTACTCCTTGGTTATCATGAGAATTTGATCCAAGAGGTATAGTAAATGACAATGTAGAGGAAAAACAATAAAAAGGTATGTTTAAATTCCATAACAACTTGAGTTATCAAATAATTTAAATAAAAAATGCTAAAAATGTCTTTGAGAAATAACCCATAAGTCTTATTTTGAAGAATTAGACTAAAGAAAGTATTTTTTTCCATAAAATATGTAACTGACATGCAAACTGAACTCCAGACTTAAAAATCCGAGGTGATGGGAAATGGGCACTGGTGGAGGGATGGGTATTTGATCATTGTATAATTGAAACCCAAGCACAAAAATTTGTAAGTCCACAACTGTACCTCATGTCTCACTAATAAAAATTAAAAATGTCTTGGGGTAAAGGGGTAAAGGCCCTCCCGTTGTTCGTCGATTTGCTCGAGCGGGCCCAGTAACGTCTCCATTGGAGACTTTGTTGTTACTGTGTTTGGCATATCTAATACATCACGGGGAGCTTGCCAGGCTCTGCCACGCAGGCGAGATACTCTCGGTAGCTTGCCGGGCTCTCCGAGAGGGGTGGAGGAATCGAACTTGGGTCGGCCATGTTGGCTGCGTGCAAGGCAAACGCCCTACCACTGTGCTATCGCTCCAGCCCCCCAAATTGAAAATAAATAAATAAATAAATGTAGACATTTAGTGTTTCTTTCTATTCCTTATGTCCTCTGCAACTACAGAATCATATTTATTATGCAGTTACTTTGAACACAAACACCCAGAGACAAAAACAAGAGGAGTACTAAAACACTCAAACACGTTAAAAAAAAAATGAAAGGACATGTTGAATCATTACTAAACTGCAAAAGTTCTAAAAAAACAAAAGGCCTAATATAACTTTTTCTACCAAAAGTCAGACCGCTCTACTTTCTAATATAAAAATCATAAGATTCAATTAACACTTGATAATATTTGATGTAGTAATTTTCATTTACATAAAAAGTGAGTTAAAATAATCACCATGAAGAGTCAGGGTTTGCTGCTATGTTCATTATTATATTATTAGATATAATTAAGTAAAATAAATTAATTAGAACATTAAATTCTTTTATGATTATTTATTTATTTATTTATTTATTTTTGGTCACATCCAGCGATGCTCAAGAGATTACTTCTGGCTTTGCACTCAGGAATCACTTCTGGCGGTGCTCGGGGGACCTTATGGGATGCTGGGAATTGAACCCAGGTTGGCCACATGCAAGGCAAACATCCTACCCGCTGTGCTATTGTTCCAGTCCCTTTTATGATATTTTAAAATAAAAATCAATGAACCCAATATAAATATTTGACTAATAGGTACTATCAAAATATATTTCCTTTTCAATATTATTTTAGTAATTAGGATTTCTGGGAGGTTGAGGT